ATACTATATATATATAATACACACTACACACACATTTATATATATATATATATATATAACGATCGAATCTCATAATTTTTGATATTATATATTTATTAATATTAAACTTAGCAATAACAATAAGAAAATATAAACACCTGTATATGCCAATTCTTTAGAGCTATCCATGTCTAGGACCAAACGGAGACTGACATTTTTTTATGAATTCAACATTCTCCCTTGCCTCTTAGGGAGTACGATTTTTACGCATGCTCACGGAAAAAGTTTTGAAATGCACGTGCTAAAGTGCAAAGTATGGGCATTCGTAAATATTTTAGATACTAATGTCTGCTGTCTTTTTAATGGATGTGTAGTTTCTCATTTGAACAATTTGTACGGTCCTCCTATAGCATTATTAAATAGTCTATGAATATATAAATGGGTGCAACGTCCTTTAATGTTCCTGGAGCGCTCATTATTAATTTATTCCCTCGTCCCTTGCCTCTCTTTGAACTCGGCTTTTTTTCAACAATTTGCATTTCTCAAACTTCACTGGCATTTTTCGTCGAGCAAACTTTAAAATGCAAAAAAAAAAATGATTACCACGTAGTTTTCACGAGTGATGCGTAGATATATATGTTTGTAGCAACGTGAAAGAGCCGAAAGACAGTAACACGAAATAGACTAATCGTCACGAAAGTTAAGTAGGATGAATGTACGTTAGGTAGAAAACATTAACGCAGTGCAGTGAAAAATAAGGAACAATTGTATATAGTATTTGTAAATTATATTAAACTACAAATTCTTAAGTAAGTGTACACAAATTGACGTTGTTTATTAATAATTATTTAGTGCAATTGTATATAGCAAGGTATAAATTATTAAATATATCAAGGGATTGTTATATTAAAATAAGGATATTATAAGAAGATACACGTGTTGCAGATATTAATTTTATATATTTTAAAAACAAATATTTTATATCTTTCGAAATTTCGAATCTAAAATTTTGCGTAAATTAAAATGTATGATAAAATAATACATAGGATACTTTTGATAAAAAGTACAGCATTCTTAATGCAAGTACGATTATTTATTATAGTTTTATTTATTATAGATTATACATATGACAGCTTTTTTTATTCAAATTAATGATTTTACTTTATTCGTATGGAAACACAAAATCCGTTTGGGGCATTGAGCATTGCTTACTAGGATACTTTTTTCTTTTATCGTAAAAAATCCAGTTCCATTGATAATTCCTCTGATCAATATTTAAATATCATCGATTGGCGAGTAATACCGATATATAACCAGCTGATGTCTTGATCAACTGAAAGCAAAAGTATAAGAGGATTAAGCGACGATACTAAAAATAAATTAGATATAATTTAGAATACATTTATAATTTAAATAAATTTAATTTGATACTCCACAATATACTTAAATATTTAAATGATAAGATATATCTTACGCTACAAAACATAGATAGCGTCATTGGAAATATTTTCCCTGCGGTTATATAAAGAGATTTGTCGGCGCGAATCATTATTAACATCAGGTTTCTGGCTTCGCTCGATTTTAACGAATACCACTCATAATTGTATACCGCATGATATATGCCTTCGCACTGCATTAAGTAATAGATAAATTTAAATTTCAAAATCTTTATGCACAACAAAGATGACGCATATTTATGATCGCGTGTTAATTAATGTGCTAAAAGACTAATGTGAACTAATGTGATGTGTTAGACTAAATGCTAATGTTGCTTCTCAAGAAATAATAATAGAAATTGATAGATGCATATTAAAGTTCTATAAAAGAATCTTATACATATTTTAATAATAAGCAGCATTCGTCATCATCAATTATACTAATGACTCATAATGAGTTGAAACAGGAAAAATATAAGAAGAAATAATACTCACTTTTGCGATGAGAATTTCGCCGACTACGCAATAAAGACACATATGAACGAATGTATTAACGAGTACCGAGACGAGCCAACATATTCGTGGGAAGGAAACATTGCCACCATCATCAATGATCTAGCACAATATATTAACATACATGTGATTATATTTTGCTTCTTTTATTACTTTGAACTTACCATTGTAAAATATTAGCTAATGAGAATCGCTAAAGCAATAATTATTTGCGTAATTATTTGCATGAGAAAATAATCAAAGAGAATTTTTTGTAATAAATATTTATTTGTACATTAATAATTTTCGGTAATGTTTTTGTGCATTAATTGATATTTTAACCTAATTCGATTTTAATGATCAAAAGTAATAAATATCTCCTCCGTTATTTTGCGACTTACACTTATTATCAGAAAGCCCTGAAGGCAAAATAATATTGCAAAATATATCAACAATGCCAGAAGCATCAAATTGAATGTATTATCGATGATGTCGATGGACCTGTGGAACATTAACATTAACATAACATTTTGTAAATACATTGTAAATATATTATATGTCGCTTTATTCTGATAATACGATAAACTTTATAACTTTTGTATCATTGATCGAAATATATCTCATTTCGTGATGTGTATCTTCATATAATAAAGTTAACGCTTCACCGCAGAATCAATTTTATTGTAAAAATCTTTTTTTATACGCAATACAATTTTGTATTGCGCTTTCAACTTTCAGAAAATTATAATCTTATATCTTATTTACAATTCGAAAATATATCTTACTGTCGACAATCACGAAATCGTGAGGCTAAATTTAAATCATTTAATTTAATTAATTCATCATAATTAAGATATGACACACTCAGTGGACCGTCGTCGACAATTAATCAAACTACAATTTACAATTTAAAGTAAAGGAACTCAAATCTGCAACCTGATGAGACGAATGTGATCCTGGACGTTCATCGAGAGTCCGACGTAGAAGTTTTTAGATTCTTGCAGATTGAGCAATCGCTTCTTAAGAATTTCCATCTGGGCGCATATATGAAAGACGATTAAGCCTAGAAAATTGTCAATGCCCGTGTAAGAAAATGCGGCCATTATAACGGCTGCGGTCTGCGCGACGAATGCGATTTCGAAATATGGACTCTCCGTCGTGTCTCGAAGATAATACGTTTGCAAGAGTAATGGTTTCCCCGGTGCATCGGTGATATTTGTCAGATATCTCATGGAGTATCCGAAGCACGGTGGGATGATAATAATGATTATTGCTAGGACCATCATGACGCATCCAAACACGACGATTGTCCTCGCAACTCTCGCTTGCTTTATCATAGTATCACGTTCCTCCAGTGTTTTCGTTTTCATCCAGTCCGCCACAACCATATTCACGACTGACATAAGATCTTAACAGAAGTAAGAACTCGGAAGTTAAATCATCATATAAATCGGGAAAGGAAACTAAAAAATTATCATCTATATTGATATAAAAAATATTTATGACAGCGACGTACTAGAAATAGGAATTTTATTTATTCACCGATACCTTTATTATATATTATCATTAAGATCGTTACGATTACGGATTATCGCGAATAAGTAAATGACAAATTAAATATAAAAAGTAAAAATATAGTAATATAGTATAAAAAAGTAAATACAGTTATTTTATTGTAATAAATATTAATCTCTACCTTCTTTTCGAAGCCACATAATGATGATTTTGATGGAAGTGGCTGTCATAGGTAACGTGATTTGCAAGTTATCTATTATTGCTATCATATCGTTCCAGATTCTTATCAGTGAAAATATTGCGGGTATGATCGACACAATAACTATCGTATTAAAAATGATGAAAACTCGTAGGCTCGCAAAGAATTTCTGTCGACTGCTTAATTTCTCATCAGGCCATAAGCCGATCATTTCCAAAGTAAAGCGATTTATTCCGATGGCCCATTCTAAATCTGCATGATTACCATAACATTATATAACTATATATTTTTAATAAATATGTGCTAATATAACTCCTATTTGACACTGTAATATTAAACTCATAATGTTTTCTGCATAAAATATATAAATATGCAACGTGCATAAATCTGTGATTTTATATGTCCATTTTAACAAATAAAACAAATAGAATATTTTTTAACAGTTTTCTCTATAAGCATGATAAAATATCAAAAATTTGACAATTGTAATTTATATATTTGTAAAACAAACTGCGATGTCACAAAAGTAAACGACCTGCATTTCCATCATTTTTAGAGATGTCCATTTCTAAAGACACATAGAGAAAACTGGCCTGTATTTTTCGTTTTTTATTCAGTTTTATTCAATTATCCTCGCTCTTTAAAAAAGATAATAATTATTCATGACTATGGCAAAATTACTGTAAGTAGTATGCTAAAATACAAAGTATGAGGTCTCACATAAATATCACAAAGATATATCAATGTGTTTGCCATATTATTAGCTTGTCGCTAATCGAAAGTTTATAAATTTCTAAACGAACAGAATGCTTTTTATGAAATGTTCTTCTTCTATGTTTTATTCCCTTTTATTATTAATTCACTTCGTTTTCCTAATATCCCGCATCTACGTTCGCTTTTTTCACTTCGAATTTTACGAAACTATTAAAGAAAGTATATAAGAATGCAAAAAATAAATGCTAACCTCGCGTCGCCACAAAGTTTTACGGGTGGTGCATTGGTAATAACTCATTGTTATAGCAACGTGAACAGGACAATGAATGGCGAGACAATGTCGCGAGGTATTGCGAGAACAAAATGAAACAGGTATTTTAGTTCATAGACAACATTCCTACGTGAAACATGCATTAGCAATTAAGTATAATCAAAAGTATAATCGAATTTTGAATTTTTTTTGTATTTTACAATTTTAATATACTTAATAAATTTATTAAATATATATTTTAATATAAAAAAACATTTACGCGATATATTAAATATATATACTCATATGAAATTATTACTTGAAATATTACTACTTACATATTTAAAAAAAAACCAATTTAACTTTTTATACTAAAATTTAATCAACTTAAATGCAGATTAAAAGAAATATTTCAATCTGCATATATATATATATATATATATATATAAATGTTTTTAGAAGTGTTTATATAATAAAGATATGTAAAGATCTATCCAATTTTTTTAGATATTTATCTTTATGTGTTAAAAAACTATCGTATTTACAAAACTATATCAGAATCAAGATTCTATTAATCAATAATCAATCAATGTGGTGAAAATTCATATTATCATATTGCATTATTAACTTTTGAAATAAATTGTGATATCATTTATTTCATAAATATAATAAATAAAATCATAAGTTCATGTCTTATACCTTAATGTGTGTGCAAAAATAGATTTGTGATTTATTAATAAAATTGTTTCTAAGACAAAAATCAAAAGAATGAGTACTAACAAAATTTTGAAAGCATTGTTATCAATTTTATTAATTCTGTATTCAAAATATAATATGCTGCATAAAATACATTGTATTTTATATGATATATTATATCATTTCTAATTACATATACATCCATATATATGTCATGAATTTTCTTAATTGTAGTAATTAATTGTAATATTTTTTAATAAATATACTTATTTTAACAATAAAATATTTGATATTTTATTTTTTTAAAATAACCTCTTTTAAATTTCCAAGAATATTTTAAAATATAATCGCAGTTCCAAAAATTTGGAACTTTAATCACAAGAATTTAAAGTTTCGAATATTATCAAAAGTGTTGAAACAATCGATTAAAAAAATTAAGTTATTTATAAATTCAAAAGTTTTGCAAGATTTTACAAAAATCTTAATTACAAGAATTTAAAATTTTAAAAATTAAGTTAAATTAAGTTTTAAAAATTAAATAAAATTGCAAAAATCAAGTTTCAAAAGTCGGCAAAATATCGGTAAGAAGTTACATTATCTAAAATTCCGAAAATTTTCCAAGCTTTCCAAGAATAACAATTAGAAATCTCATAGAATATCATAGAATCACAAAAATATAATCTTAATTATAGATACGGCAAAGAAGTTGTCTATAATTAAGATTCCTGATTAGTCGCGGCCATATTGACGATATATCATAGGCGTCATCATAGGCGAGAAATGATATAGTAAAATTTATTGCACTTAATTTGCAAATAAAGAGATATTTAACTAAAACGACACTTGAGATGACTTTAAGACACTTGTGAAAATGGACGGCTGCAATCCTTTTCCTTCTTGATAATTAATAAATTGTTAAGTATTAAAAAGCATGTGAAATGAAACCTGTTCAGACAGAGAAACACACGGTTTGACAGCTGTCGAAAGAAATAAAAAATATGTTTTTACATATAAAATACAAAAATCACTTTAGCTGCTGTCCATTTTTACAAATTTGATAAGTATGAAATAAGTCATAAGTCTACGATAAAGCACATAATAATGAAATTAGGTGCAATAAAAAATTTTATTATCAGCACGCCGCTTAACATAAAGATGAACGCGGATAATAAGATGAACAATGATGAATGGACTTTTAATTTTTACAATAACGCTGTGTCAACGTGTTAGCTGACTAGTCAGGGTCAGAAGATTTAATAACAACAATTTAAATAATTTAAATAAGTGTTAAAAGTTGAGAAAATGTCAGGAGAATATAATTGGTAAAGAGCTTACACATTTACAGTTTCGAGAATTTTTCATGTTTTCCAAAAATCACAACTAGAAAATTCGATATTACAGAAGTATTAAAAAAAGAAGTTACAGTATTTATAACAACAATTTAATAACAACAATTTAAATAATTTAAACAAGTATTAAAAGTTGAGAAGGTATCAAGAGAATATAATCGGTAAAGATCTTACACCATCTAGTTTTGAGAATTTCTCAAATTTCCTAAGAATTTCCACAACTAGAAGACTCGAATATTATAGGAGTATTAGAAGAAAGAAGTTACAGTATCTATTTTTAATAACAACAACTTAAATAATTTAAACAAGTTAAAAGTTGATGGAAACAAGTTAAAAGTGTCAGGAAAATATAATCAGTAAGGAGCTTACAATGTCTATAATTTAGAAAATTTTCCAAGAATCACAATTAGAAATTTCGAATATTATAGAAGTATTAGGAAAATATAATGGTAGCGATGCAGCGTTGCGGTAAAAAGTTTATCCATCCTTGTTCACTTTATTTTTGTCCTTGTCTATCTTCATATTAAGAGGCGTATTTCAATATGGTCCCGATTTCAAGATGGGTGCGATTAACCAATCAGAATTAAGGATTTTATGAATTGATTTCAATATGACCGCGATTAATCAATCAAAAAAATTTCAAAGTATTTGTTTTATGAAGTGTACTGCTATGGATTATAAATAAATGTGCGCATACACGTTTTACGCGTACAATCCAATTCATATTCTCATGATACTTTATCAACTTTTAAGGCTTTTGATAAGTCGCAGCGGTCATATTGAAATCGTGATCATAATACACTGAAATTTATTGAAATAATTTGCAAATAAAGAGATATTTGACTGAAATAATACTTGAGATAGAGTTTTAAGGTACTTGTGAAAATGACGGATACTCTCCTACCCGTTCCTGATAGTCAATAAATAGCTATAAAAGCAAATAAAGCAAAGCTTGTTTAGGCAGAAAGACACACGGTTTGGTAGCTATTGAAAGAAGTGAAAAATATACTTTTACTACATACAAAATTCAAAGGTAATTTTAGCTGCCATCCATTTTTATAAGTTTGGTACGAAATAAGTCACATTAAGCATATAGTAATGAAATTAAATGTAATAAAAAATTTTGTTGGCCGCGACAGTTGACAAAGTATCAGGAGAATATGAGTTGAATTTCGAAAAGCAAAAATGCGCACATTTATCTACAGTTCATGTCACGTATACTATAACAAAATGCGCACGTATGCGCTTTACGGAATCTAGCCATAATCGGCAAAGAAATTTAATATTTATATATTTAATAATTTCGAGGATTTAGAGCTTTAAGAATTGATTTATATTTTCGATCTTAGTCTTAATCTTAATATTAGTCTTAACTTAATTTTAAGGACCTGTTTATGTTTCTCTGGAAATTCAGGCTGCGTATACGCGTACGTAAGAGAACATAATCACAAATTGCACATGGTGACCAACTGACTAGAAAATTGTGAATGTAATTATCAAATGAGATAAATGCAAGCAAAATGAATAGTTATCAGTGGTATCAAATAGTAATGTTTGGAGCATTACTTTTATTATCAAGTGCTTTTATAACACATTTATTACTTCAAAAGCAAAAAAGATGGAAAACATGGACATTTTCTCTTCCTATCGCTTTTTTTTATCGCGCATGCGTATCACATCTTTTCTTAAGGAATTAAGACTAAGTTAAAAGATGGAAACTTTCTGAAATTAAGATTAAGACCGATATTCATAATCAGTTCTTTATATTTAAGATCTTAAGATGACATTTCAACCAATAAGATAGCTGTATAAGCTTATTTAAAACAATCTTAAATATAAAAACTAATCATGAATATCGGTTTAAGACCATGGTTAAGACTAGGGAAGCATAAACGATCTTATGGTATTCTTCATTTCCAACTTTTAGGGACTAAGCCCTAAATCTTTAAAAGCAAATATTTTAAGATATAATGAACAAAATGTTGGAATAACTAAAATTTTGAGAGAATTGCAATTCTAGGAATTTTAAAAACTTTTAATTTATAAACTCAATATATTAGAAAATATGAAGATTCCAAGAACGTTCTGAGAATGTTATATTAATTTGGAACTTTTATTAATAAACAAAGTTTAAGTCGGAAGTGTAATTGCGCACCGTTTACAGCGCTGATTCTCAATTATCCTACTGTTTCCCATTGTTGTAACGCCAAGAATCATTTTTGTTAATATTTAATTAATACTTAAATTAAAAATAAAATATAAAAAAATTAATAAAAAGATAACAACACAAACAAGAGAAATGAAGATACACGAATCTTTTCTTGCCTCTCAATGTTTTTCTTGCTCGTCCATTTTTTTATGATATTTACAATAATAATCAAATTTCGCGCGTTTTTGTCAACAATATTCGGCGCATTATTAATAATACCCTTGGCATACTTTGTATTTCCCTCCTACGTTTATTTTCTAATTCTGGATATGGATAACAGCTAGTTACTCTAATTACCTTTTCGAGCCTATGCTCATGGCTCGGAAACGAATAGTCGTGGCCGATCGAGACATCGACGTCGGCACCGGGCAGTATCTGGTGAAGGAACGCTGTCATTCTTGTTGTCACGTGTCACGTGGAATTAAACACTGGCATCCGAACATCCATATCAATTAGATGACGGCGCGACGCCGTGGGCTAACAGGTCATGGGGGCCTGTCTCGGCCGCTGCTTAGCGAAGATCACAGATTCCATGCCGTACAGGTTAGAGTTGGATCGAGAAATGATGAAAGTCATGTCGATTGTTAGGTTTTCTGACAGAAAATCATTAGGTACCGATCTCAAATAAAAATCTTCATTTTGATATTTAAAGACACGATTGAGTGAAAGACGCATTCAGAACTTTCAATATTTCAATTGTATGACTCATGCCTTACAGTTGTATTCTGATTTTGGGCTGCTACATTTCAAGTCCATTAAGAATAAGATGATAAAGTACCAACTTCTTAAATTTCTTAAATTTATCTAAATATTCTTATGTTTTTAAATTTATATAAGTCTAGAAATTTAAAAATTAGATGATGAAGATCTTCTCTTACCGATTTCTGTGTTTGCCTAGGAATTGTATTAATATACGACTATAGTTAGATGCTATGAAATATAAAAGATGTATTAAACTTGCTTGAATAAAAAAATATCCTTTTTAACTTAATTAACTGAAAGTGTTTCTAATGTATTATAGATCTTAGAAAGTAGATATTGTATTTCATCGTTTCATTGCTTCGTTATATGTTCAGGTTTTATCAAAGGCACACCAGAATGTCTTCCCAAGAAGAAGA